TGAAAATTTTATACTAATTTATTTTGGTTTTTTTGTGTTTTTATGTGTATATGTATAACATTTATTATTTGTAATTTTTAAAATATACGGCTCATAAACTTGTTTTACGGCTCTCTTTTTTTGCGGTTTATATAACTGCCTAAATAGTTTTGAAAAATTGTCGTAGGCTGCTTTTTTGCTTTGCGATCCAGATATTTGGTTTGTCGTCTGTGTTGTTACCTTGATTAGACTTAATGAGAGAGAAAGGAAAGTAGTTATATCTTTTTTCGATTTGGTTTAACATTTTGTTGGTTTTTCTCTAATTTAATTTGTTTAAACTCTGTCTGGTTTTTCTAAGTCTATATTAGTATTATTCTGCTCGAGACTCGTTTGGTCGCACTCAAGAGATCTCGTATATATTTTCTATTCTTGCGAGGTAGAAGAGAGGAAAAGCAACTGCTTTCTAGGTTAAATTTGTTTTTTCTGACTGAAACTATAATTAATTTCAGCCTTACAATTAATGTTTTAGCCATGTATCATGATTGGTTTGTTCTCGTGTGTTTTTAGTTCAATTAGCGACATAGCGACTAGCGAACGACAATTAGCTATAGCTACCAATAAGCGGAAACCTCGTTAGCGGTCTCACCTCTGATGTCGAGTCTGTGGAGTTTTTTTCGTGTAGATTTGAAAAAATATCAATCGTTTTTGGTCGTATTAGACAATTACGGAGAATTAGTCTATGTTTTTTTCCTAAATTATCTTTTGACATAAGTTTTATTTATTAATGATAGATGCAGGAACCAAGTATCAGCTTCTATTTACTGAATTGATGGTTCATACGCTTTTTGTGAGGTTAGCCTAATCCTCCGGTTGTATTGTCGTGGCAAGAAAGTTTGGGGAGAAAACATATCAATTCAATTGAATGATTATTTTTTTGCTCTCAAACGAGTGTGACTTTCTTCACATCTAAGTAAACTTAACCTTACTTAATTGGGGATCGATATAAGATTGAGGGTTGGAGAATAGTAAACCATTCCGCAAAGTTCAGGCTCATTTAGAATACAAGTAGATCGTTAGGTATTAATTAAATTCTTACTAGTGCTAAGATTTGTTTTAGGCCTGGGTCAATTAGAGGAGTGGTTCAAAAAAAAGATGAGTTTCCTTAATTTGAAGGGTTAGTTCATTGAAACACAATGTTAGTTAATGCTGGGTCTTATAGAAGGGTTGGAAAGTGAATTGATGCTTAAAATCGTTAGACTCTATATTAAGAGTTGGGATTAAATTTATTAAATGGTCCAAGGAAAACCTTGATCATTTAGATTTAAAATTAAATCGAAGTAAAAATTTTGAAGGAAAAATTAGAAAAAATTATGAATAAATTTTAAAGATGTAATAGAAATCTTGGTGAACTGATTTAAATGAACAAAATTGAATTTAAGTTAAGCCAGGATACGCCTTGATAGAAGTAGTTTTGCAGTTTTTAAAGAAAATGAAATTGGTTTAAGATCCAAGAAAATCTTGATGATCTTGTTTTGTGATTAAAATAGGTGTTAAAAATTCTGTTTTTGTCTTAGATGAAAAAAAAAACAGTGATGGTCCTCAAGAATCAAGGAGCCAAAGACACAAAATTTATATAAATCGATTGTTGAAAAATTTACACTAACTAATTTTTGCTTTTTTGTATATTTGGGTGTATATGTATAACATTTATTATTTGTAATTCGAAAAATATTCAGCTCATAAAATTTTTAGGGCCCTATTTTTTTGCAGTTTATATAACTGCATAAATAGTTTTGAAAAATTGTCGTAGGTTGCTTTTTTGCTTTGCGATCCAGATACTTGGATTGTCGTCGGAGTTGTAACCTCGTTTCGGCTTTAAGATCGGCTTAACTTGGTTAGACTTATTGAGAGAGAAAGGAAAGAAGTTATATCTTTTTTCGATTTAATTTAACATTTTGTTGGTTTTTCTTTAAATATTTTGTCTAAAATCTGTCTGGTTTTTCTACATCTAAATTAGTATTAGTCTGCACGAGACTCGTTTGGTCGCAACAGATGAAATTAAGTACGCTACGAAGTGGCTTTTGCATAGAGTAATTTTGGACATGGTACACCGTCTGTTCGTTCCGCTGTCTTCTTTTTGGCCGGATAGAACCGTGCAGTTTCTTGTTCTTATACTGATCCTAATCATACTCTTATATTTGCTAGTCTCAAGAGATCTTGTATATATTATCTATTCTTGCCAGGTAGAGGAGAGGAAATGCAACTGCTTTCCAAGTTAAATTTGTTCTTTTCTGACTGAAACTATAAGTAATTTCAGCCATACAATTAATGTTTTAGCCATGGATCATGATTGGTTTATTCTGGTGTGTTTTTAGTTCAATTAGCGACATAGCGACTAGCGAACGACAATTAGCTATAGCTACCGATCAGCGGAAACCTTGTTAGCGGTCACACCTCTGATGTGGAGTGTGTGGAGTTTTTTCGTGTAGATTTGAAAAAAAAATCAATCGTTTTTGATTGTATTAGACAATTATGGAGAATTAGTATTTGAATATTTCCTAAACTATCTTTTGACATAAGTTTTATAATGATAGATGCAAGAGACAAGTATCAGTTTCTGTTTCCTAAACTGTTAGTTCATACGCTTTTTGTGAGGTTAGCCTAATCCTCGGGTTGTATTGTCGTGGCAAGAGGAGTTGGGAAAACATATCAATTCAATAGAAGGATTTTTACTGCTCTCAAACGAGTGTGACTTTCTTCACAACTAAGTAAACTTAATCTTACTTAAATGGGGATCGATATGAGATTGAGGGTTGGAGAATAGTAAATCAATCCGCAAGGCTCAGGCTCATTTAGAATAAAAGTAGATCGTTAGGTATTAATTATATTCTTACTAGTGCTAAGATTTGTTTTAGGCCTGGGTCAATTAAGAGGAGTGTTTCAATAAAAAGAAGAGTTTCCGTAGTTCTTCACTTTTTAGCTGAAATCGAATGGTTAGTTCATTGAAACACAATGTTAGTTAATGCTGGGTCTTATAGAAGGGTTGGAAAGTGAATTGATGCTTAAAATCGTTAGACTCTATATTAAGAGTTGGGATTAAATTTGTTAAATGGTCCGAGGAAAGCCTTGATCATTTAGATTTAAAATTGAATCGAAGTGAACAATTTGAAAGAAAGATTAGAAAAAATTATGAATAATTTTTAAAGATGTAATAGAAAGTTATTGTACGGCTCTATTTTTTTGCAGTTTACATAACTGCATAAATAGTTGTGAAAAATTGTCGTAGGCTTCTTTTTTGCGTTGCGATCCAGATATTTGGTTTGTCGTCTGTGTTGTAACCTCGTTTCGGCTTTAGTATTGGCTTGATTTGATTAGACTTATTGAGAGAGAAAGGAAAGTAGTTATATCTTTTTTCGATTTGGTTTAACATTTTGTTGGTTTTTCTCTTCTCTAATTTGTCTAAACTCTTTCTGGTTTTTCTAAATCTATATTAGTATTAATCTGCTCGAGACTCGTTTGGTCGCACCAGATGAAATCAACTACGCTACGAAGTGACTTTTTCATAGAGTAATTTTGGACATGGTACACCGTCTGTTCGTCACGCTGTTTTCTTTTCGGCCGGATAGAACCGTGCATTTTCTTGTTCTAATACTGATCCTAATCATACTCTTATATTTGCTAGTCTCAAGAGATCTTGTATATAGTTTCTATTCTTGCGAGGTAGAGGAGAGGAAATGCAAATGCTTTCTAAGTTAAATTTGTTCTTTTCTGACTGAAACTATAAATAATTTCAGCCTTACAATTAATGTTTTAGGCATGGATCATGATTGGTTTATTCTGGTGTGTTTTTAGTTTAATTAGCGATATAGCGACTAGCAAACGACACTTAGCTATAGCTACCGATTAGCGGAAACCTCGTTAGCGGTTACACCTCTGATGTGGAGTCTGTGGAGTTTTTTTCGTGTAGTTTTGAAAAAAAAATCGTGTCAAAGTTTCTTTCCATTTTAAATATTTGATTTTGCCTGAAAAAAAATCCCTTGGCCTTAGTTTCTTTCCATCCGTAAAAATTGACCTGCCAAATGCAAAAACACTGCCAGATTTGAGTGATATTTTCAAATTATAGCCTCGCACATGCAAAATTGATGAACCGATATTTGAAAACGAACAGACAAAGAAATCCATCGAATAAACTTTCGAATCTTTAAACCTGACTAATTTGCTATGCAGCATCTAGGCAATCAATTTTTAGACAACGATTCCCAAATCTTGCTACCAAATTAGCCTGTCGAGGAGGGCGGGATCTCCCTTCACTCGATTCTGATTTTCAAAATTTTCCCAAAAGGCCTCATTTTGGTGTTATCCACACAATACATCCATTTTGGCCAACTAATCCTCATTTTTTCCGGATTTTAGTCAATTATACGAAAATTTTGAGAGGAAGCGCGAAGGAAGTTCTATTTAATCGATTCCCAAAATTGATCAAAAGCGCTGAAAACTTTTCTTTAACTAAGTTCTCCAATGTTCTCGACGGATTCATCGAAAAACTTTCGAGCAAAACTTTGAAGCGTCCCCTTTTTAAGAAAAAATCAAAACGTTGGAAACTATCATTAAAACTAATATTAGCTGTAATTTGACCCGTATAGAAGTTAATGTATGGAAGTGGTTCAGTTCTCCAAATCCCACGGCCGATTGATTACTTGTCCCATCTTCTTTAATATTTCGCTGATTAGGTATAATACTACATGATAAATAAAAAGCACATTAAGTTGTGATAATCAAAACAGCGATGAAATAGACCCGACACTGCCTCCAAATATAGCTACCCGCTAAGCCAAAAAGTAATCATTAATTAACGAGGCAGAGTGAAATAGTTGACAAGTCCGCCGCCTGATGGATTGAAATTGCGAAATGACCTGGCTCTTTTTTCTTGAATAACATGTCTTCGGTACATCGATCAAAGTCATTGCAAGACACTGACCCAATAAGTGATTAATTTACCAAACTCATCACCAGAACTTATAAAGACCAGAACTTATAAAGACCTTATAGCCAACCTTTTCTGCGCAGGTTGCAACTTTAGCCATTTTAACAACAAAATCCTACTTTTTAACCCCCTTAACATATTCACTGCGCACTGAAAGAAAAACAAGCTCAAAATTTTTAGAAATTTCCGAACGCTTCATGAACTTAACGTGCATTTTTGGAATCCGAAAAAAATTTTGTTGGTTTTTTGATTTTTTTCGAATGATATCTGATGATTAGTCATAATTTGGGGCATAACCAAATTCAGCTGCTAAAATGTTTGTATGGTTTCCTTCGTAGTTATAGAGATTGAAGAATATAAATAAAAATTTAGCTGCCTATCGTTTTCTGCTCATTGTATTGTTCTAGCTTAGGAGAATTTAAAACCTTTTTTTATTGTTTATTATTTAAAAAGAGCATTCCTATTGGCTAAAAAGGAAATAAGGTTAAATGTTAATCGGCTCATCGTGGCTTTAGAAATCATTTCCATATATTTTTCCGTAGTTGCTGGCTCAGACTTTCTGATTTCCAATATCAACAGGTAAGCAATATCATGATTATAAACTTAAAATAATAAAACTTAATTACTAATAGTCGTTTTAGTCAGAATAACGAGAAATCCGTGTTATTTCATTCCGGCTGAATTATAATCTATTAAAGCTGAAAAAACTGAATAAACTTGGTTAAACATTATATCAGTTTCCTCTAAATTTAACCTCAACACTCAACTGTAAGTGTTTTGCTATTTCATCTCTTGGAATATCAACAAATTTCAATTTTAGCAACATTTTTAGCTTTTCACATGTTCTGTTTTCCATAGAAAGAACAGTTAAAAAGACAGCTAAGATTTACATGTTTTCTTTCTTTCCCGCTCTGCTTACACCAGAAGTTTAAATGCTTGCTTGGTGGGTGACTTTTTTGAAATAATCATGCCATAAATGTTCTGAACTTTTTTCAAACTCTCCTTTTCAAGTTTCAAATAATGTCTTTTGATTTAAGTGATGTATTTGGCCTAAACACTAACAACTCTTAATTGGTGCAAAATGACATAAATAGATTTGACTCAGTTTTTTATTCTGTATTAAGCGGGATTGTCTTCACCAAAAAATCAATAATTCATGACATTACACGTATAATAAAAAATTATCTTTTTAGGAAATTTACAACTTATATATTCTATGAAACTGTACGCTTAAAATTTACTGTGGCTTGGGAGAGTACCAAAAAGGCAAAATGATTTTAAAAAAAAGGATAAAAAACTCCAAATAATATAGTATTTCCCTACCATATTTGTTGACATAGTGGTACGTATTTCTGAGGGTGATTTTTTCGTAGCACAATTTTTTCTGATGATTTTCAAAAGTCGCAATCATTTCTTCCTACTTAACCGAAAATACCGAAAATACCGAAAATGAGGAAGTGTCTGTTAGGATAAAAGGAATAACTAGGAAATAAATTATGGAGATCTGACACGAAAAGATGCCATTTTTACGGTATTTTATGGTAGCTTAGAGAGTTACAACTGAACAAAAATTGTCATATTGTTCATTAAAAGAAAAAAGACAAGATGACAAAAAGCAGGTAAAGCCGCTTTCCTTAACACTTTACTAATTGGCAAACATGCATATTCGCTTATCAGGTTTCAAACTCAATCGCCCAGGGAGAGGCGTTCCCAAAGAATTTTTGGATATTTTTCAAAGTCATAAAAACTTCGGAGACATCGCTGAAATCTGTTTATTTGTTTTTTGAATGCACTCCCAGAAATCTTAGTACCTATCTTTAAGGCTTGATTTGTGTAGGGATATAACTATTGCACTTTTCCTAGACTATCGTGAACTTTTCACGTTCTAGCCGCTGAACAGTTTTCGCTCAACAAAAAGGTAACTCTTTGTGGAAAACTTATGTTTTAAATATTTCAGAACCTTGATTTTTGAGTCTACTAGCGTCGCTTGGTTTTCATTTAGGGAAAAGTTCATTTTTCAATTAACTGACGAATCAAGGCGTTTTAAAAATGGCTCCGATTGCCCGGTTCATGAATGTTCCGAGAGCGCTGTAATTGGTCTCGAATAATTTTTGGTAAATTAAATATTGGCAAAACTATGAATTTTAGACTGATACTATCAAAAACTAAGTGTTGCAAGTTGAGTCGTGTATGTAATCAAATCTGCTCGTATATAAGGGCAACCCTGAATGTTCCAACTGCCCATTAACTCATATCGAATAGATTTTTGGAAAATAACATATTGGAAAACTATAAGTTTTGGACAGTATCAAAGATCAAATATGAAAACTTGAGTCATATGAAATTGTTTGGACCAATTAGCTAGCCTCAATTAAATTTGGAACGATTTTGTTGTGTGGGGTAATTCGCCACGCATGAAAAACTTGCGTTATACTTTCAGGATTATGGATAAAATCTTCAAGTGCGCATAAATCAGTCGAGAGCAGGGCCAAGTTCCCAATTTTCAAACTCCCAAAACTTTCCAACAAATAATCGGAGATAAAATATCTGTTGAAATTTTGTTCCAAGGAGTCGATAACTTCAATGGGGTACAAGATTTTTTTTGTTAAAATCTATTACTTCAATCGCCGAAAAATGACCGAGTAAAAACAAGACTGCTCGTATCAAGGCAAAGCCCTTAATTTTTTGTTTGCCTTTTAATTGGTCTCGATTAGTTTTTGGAAATATTGACAAATTAGACTGATAATATCAAATTTTTAAGTGTTTAAGTTTGAGTCGTGTATGGCATTGATGTGACTAATTAGCTTGCCTCAATTCAATTTGAAACAATCACCAAATTTCTTGCCAAGTGGAGCTGAAATAACGCTTTCAATCAAATGGAAAAATCTCTTCACTTTCATTTCAAGAGAAATCTGTAGATTCGAGGGAAGCTTTTTATTCCAAGATTCGATCACTGAAGTAGTACTTTACTATATCCATTTTTGGATGACCTACCCAAAACTTCGCAAGCGCGCCACTGGTACCAATGCTTACTAATTGTTAGAGGCGCGTGCCCAAAAAGCAGTTTTTTCGTAAAAACTTTCCAAAAAAGCCGGAAAGGTTTTTCTAAATTGCCTATGGCGCTTAAAGATTTGGCAAAGTGGTGTCTTTACAGTTTTTTGGATGAGCTTAAAACAACAAGTTATTCGACACAATTTTGAATCAAAAGGAACAAAAAAATCAGATTCTCTCCTTTAGTCGATGATAAGTAGTTCATGAAATTCAATGAGCCTTATTTTTGCAAAAATAGTTCTAATAATTTGGAAGTTGAGAATGTTTTCAGAAAAAAAATGGATAAAAAAACGAAATTTATGGTTTAAGTGGCGCAACC